CACATCACCTCTCTGTTTAGAACCCTCCCAGAGCTTCCTATTACCATCGGAACAACACCCACAGCCTGACCTGGCCTATAAGGGCTGTGTGCTGTGGCGCCTGCCCACCTCTCCCTCATTTCTTACCCTTATCCCTCGTTCACTGTGCAGCAGTCCTCTTGGCCTTTTTGTTGTCCCTCCAAAGTTTGTGCTGGTTCATGCTCAGAGTTTCCTCCCCCATGTCTTGGTATCTTTCTCATCATTTAGACTTGATTTGACTATTGTCTTTCCTGACTACTGTATCTAAAACCACCTCCCTCATATTTCTTCCCAAACCTACCAATTCACCCTCTATTCTGTAGCCCTCATTAATTCTATCACAGCACTTCCGGCCATCTAGTCATCATGATATCCACTCCTGTTATTTGTTTCTGCACGTGGTCATTTTTTTTCTTCTTTCAGTGGAATGCAGGTGGGGACTTGCTCGCTCGTCTTCATGCCTGTGCACTCAGTGTCAGCACAGTGCTTGACATTTGATAAGTGTTTACTGAATGAATGAAGAAAGGATGTGAGAGAACAGCTGGTGAAGAAAAGAAAGAAGATGAGGTTTAAAGTGCAGTATTTAAAATTTTTATATGTTTTTATTGATTTTAGAGAGAGAAAGGGAGGGGGGAAGAAACATCAATGGGAGAGAAAGATCAATCGACTGCCTCCTGCAGGTCTCCCGGACATGTGCATTGACCAGAAATGTGCTTAATACTCGAAAATGGCACACTTAAAACTGGGTAAAAGGGTAAATTTCATATTATGTGTATTTTACTACAATGAAAAAAAATTAAAAACAAAATCACAGTGGCGTGCACGGTAGAGAAGGAATTTCAGTGGCTATGAGAAACTGGTTCTGAGGTCCTGGTAGCAGTCCAGGAGTAAGATGGTGGCTTGAACCAGAACAGTGGCTATGATATCATGAAGAAGTAGGATTTGTGGGTCAGGACTTTATTATGGATAAGAAAGTAGGGCAAAGAAATGTCAGCGATGCCTCCCAGATTCATGGCTTTCAGACATAGTGGAGTCATTTTTGGAGACAGGAAATTCCAAACCAGCTTAAGGGAAGATCATATGTGCAGTTTTGGATCTTTTTGTTTAAAATTCTTTCATTCAAGTGGAGATGTTGGCTAGAGAGATATGAAACTCAGAGAAAGGTTTATAAGTGATATGTAAATTTTAGAGTTAATGACAAACAGATTATCATGGAAATCATGGACATGAAAGAAATCACCTTGAGGAGAAAATAGAGAGTAAAGAGAATAAGGTCTTTGGACCAAGCCTTGGGGTAAGGCCAGCCTATAGAGCCCATGAAGATCAATAAGTGTTAGGAAGAAAGCTTGACCATTGAAGAAAAATCAAAAGAGCTTTCAAACAAGAAATGAGAGGTCTACAAGGTAAGCTTCCTGTCTCTGTGGATTTACCTATTCTGGATGTTTCATATAAATGAAGTCATACAATAGGTGGCCTTTTGTGTCAAGTTTTTTTATTTATCACTAGAGGCCTAGTGCATGAAATTCATGCACTTAAGGGGTAGGGGGGGTAGGGAGGAGTCCCTTTGCCCAGCTTGCACCCTCTCCCAGTCCAGGAGCACTCGGGGGATGTCCAACTAATGGCTTAGGCCAGTGGTCGGCAAACCATGGCTCGGCAAACCGCGGCTCGCGAGCCACACGTGGCTTTTTGGCCCCTTCAGTGTGGCTCTTCCACAAAATACTGACTTCTGCGCATGGGCCACGAAGTTCAATTGCACTGTACGTGCGTGCCCGCACGGGGTATTTTGTGGAAGAGCCACACTCAAGGGGCCAAAGAGCTGCATGTGGCTCGCGAGCCGCGGTTTGCCCACCACGGGCTTAGGCCCACTCCCCACAATGAGCTCCTGCATTGAGTGTCTGCCCCCTGGTGGTCAGTGCACATCATAGTGACCGATCATTCCACCATTTGGTTGATGTGCATATTAGCCTTTCTTTATATAGGATGTTTTTAAGGTTTATCCATGTTGTAGCATGTTTCTACACTTCATTTCTTTTTAAGATTGAATAAGTTTCCATATGTGAATATGCCAAATTTTGTTAACAATTCATCAGTTGATGGACATTTGGTTTGTTTCCACTCTTTGGCTATCATGAGCAGTGCTACTATGAACATTCCTATATAAGTATTTGTTTGAAAACCTGTTTTTCAGTTCTTTGGGTATAGGCCTAGGAGTGGAATTGCTGGGTCTAAGCTTTTTGATAAAATAGCAATTCTTTTCCATAGAAGCTGCACGGTTTTGCACTTGCATCAGCAACATAGGATGGTTCTGATTTCTCTACATCCTCATCAACACTTTTATTTTCTGTACCAGAGGCCTGGTGCACGAAATTTGTGCACTCAGGGAGGAGGGGTCCCTCAGCCAGGCCTGTGCTGTCTCACAGTCCGGGAGCCCTCAGGGAATGTCCGACTGCCAGCTTAAGACCACTGCTCCCGGGGGGTAGCAGGCCTAAGCTGGCAGTTGGACATCCTTAGTGCTGCTGCAGAGGCGGGAGAGGCTCCCGCTACCACTGCTGAACTCTGCAGCCATGGGTCCAGCTTCTGGCTGAGCATTGCTCCCTCTGTGGGAGCACGCTGACCACCAGGGGGGCAGCTCCTGCTCGATCATCTGACCCCTAGTGGTCAGTGCACATCATAGCAAACCGGTAGTTTTGCAGTTCGGTTGATTTGCATATTAGCCTTTTATTATATAGTATTATTATTACTACTAGAGGTCCAGGGCACAAAAATTTGTGCACTCGGAGGAGAGGGGGGGTCCCTCAGCCTGGCCTGTGCCCTCTCGCAGTCTGGGACCCCTCAGGGGGATGACCACCTGCTGGCTTAGGCCCGCTCCCCATGGAATTGGCCCTAAGATGGCAATCAGACATCCCTCTGGCAGCCCGGCAGCCCTCGGGGGATGTCCACTTGCCTGCGGGGAGCAGACCTAAGCTGCAGTCGGACATCCTTAGCGCTGCTGAGGAGGCAGGAGAGGCTCCCACCACCACCGCTGTACTGGCACCCATCAGCCTGGCTTGTGGCTGAGCAGAGCTCCTCCCATGTGAGAGCGCCCTGACCACCAGAGGGAAGCTCCTGCATTGAGCGTCTGCCCCCTGGTGGTCCGTGTGTGTCATAGTGACCAGTCATTTCCAGTCCTTCTGCTGTTAGGGTCAGTTTGCATATTACCCTTTTACTATATAGGATAGAGGTCTGGTGCATGGGTGGGGGCCGGCTGGTTTGCCCTGAAGGGTGTCCCGGATCAGGGTGGGAGCCCCGCTTGGGTGCCTGGCCAGCCTGGATGAGGGGGTGATGGCTGTTTGCAGCTGGTCACACCCCTTCAGGGTGGGGGTCCCCACTGGGGTGCCTGGCCAGTCTGGGTAAGGGGCTGAGGGCCGTTTTCAGGCTGGCGGGCAACTGAAGCTCCCAACCTCTCCTTTTTTTCTTTTCTTTTTTTTTTTATTCTGGGATTTATTTACCTTATTTGGATGTCACTGGAACTGAGAGCCAGCTTTAGCTCTGAGTCTCGGCTCCAGCTCTGAGACCTCAGCTGCTGAAAGCAGGTATCTGGGTTTGTTTGGCTTCAATAATTGAAACACTGCTGCAGCTCCAGCTCTGAGGCCCGGCTGGATGAAAGCAGGTTTCTGGGGATTGTTTAGCTTGTATAATTGCAACATTGTTTCTTAGAGTGCAGCTCAGAGCCGGGCTGCAGCAGGGGGGGAACCTTGGCTTCCTCCATCACTGGAACAAGGAAGCCTCCTGTTCACTTCAGCTGCCTGGCTGCCGGCCGCCATCTTGGTGGCAGTTAATTTGCATATCTCCCTGATTAGCCAATGGGAAGTGTGTTGGAGGTACGGTTAATTACCATGTTTGTCCTTTATTAGATAGGATTATTGTCATTCTGATGGGTGTGAAGTCGTACCCAGTTGTGTTTTGATTTGCCTTTTTCCAATGACTAATGATGTTGAGCATCTTTTTACATGCTTGTTAGCAATCCATAAATCTTCTTTAGAGAAATGTCTGTTCCAATCCTGTGCTTACTTTTTAATTAGGTTGTCATTTTGTTAAGTTCTGAGTTCTTTATATATTTTGGATACTAATCCCATATCACATATATGATTTATAAATATCCCATTCTGTAGATTGTCTTTTTATTTTTCTCAGAGTGTCGTTTGGGACACAATTTTTTATTTTTTTTATTTTGAGGCAGCCTAATTTACCTGGTTTTCTTTCCTTGCTTGTGCTTTTGTTATCACCATGAAGATTCCATTGACAAATCCAAGGTTAGGAAGATTTACCCTTATGTTTTCTTCTAAGAATTTTATAGTTTTGGCTCTTATACTTAGGTTCTACATCCTTTTGATTTTGTTCATTATTTAAATCATTGCTACTAAATTACTTCAGTGTGGCCCATAAACTGGGGTCTTAATTTACCTAGGTAAATTGCCCTCACATTGGTTTCTGCAAATTTCAAAGGGAGAATTTTTGGGATTTCATAGGCGAATCTATTCCCATATAGAATCCTTTATGGTTCAATAAACATCACTTTATTTTTATTTTTATTTTTTAAATATACTTTTATTGATTTCAGAGAGGGAGAGAGAGATAGAAACA